GGACTTGTGATTATGCAGCTTACATGGTTTTAGGGTCCAAATATAGCACAGAACAATCAGGAAAATTGATTGTCATCAAAACACATTTTGAAATGGATATTAACTGTGGGAAAATAGAATTTGTGACTGACATTAAAATGATCAATTTTCTGGACTGGCGTTACAAAGCCTTTTGCCAGAGCCATGTATAATACATGTGAAGATATGGTTGAACACGTTCTAGGTAATAGTATGAAGCGTGTAGATGCCCTGAGCTATCCCGGAACACAATAATGAGGCGTTGGTTTCTAGGAGATTAGGATTAGGTTGTGGGCAGTACTTTGATTAACTCTGTGGTTTGTGTATGTGGGGGTGGTAGTGGCGGCTGTCTGTGTGTGCAAACCACTTTGATCAGACACTCTAATTGATCTGCATCTGATTGCCCTTAGAGATCTATGCGTAGTAATGACTTGGATAAGAATTTGTCATTAGTGAACCCCTTGTCAGGAGGCAAATTGTCTGGTTGGGTGCTTATAACAGGTTGTTTTTGCTAAGCAGATTGGGAAATTAGTTTGCTATACATGTGAAACTATTAAAAAGTTGGCAGAACATCTGAGAGGGTTCTTGGTAACATGTTATTGTCCTGTGCCCCCACATTTTCTTATTTTGGGACACCATCTGTTTGAACTGGGTTAATAATCGTGTAATGCAAAGAATCAATTTCACCAAACACTTTACCAACCAGATTGATTAGTGTGTGCAGACTACTCCTAAACTTCAGTTCAGAATTGCTTTCAGGAAACGTGTTATCTTCTGTTTTGCTGTGTCTGGGTGATTAGCAATTGAATTACGTGTTCAATTAGGGTGAATAATAGCAGTAGCAAATGTCACCACTCATGGAACAAGTAGCATATTTTGATGGATGCGTGGGCTTGAGGCATGGATATTGTCAACCACTGCATCATTGAAGAACATGCATTCTAGAAATAAGCCAAAAACAACAGGTCAATTTTAGTCTCTTTTTGCCTTTTTTTTTTTGGCAAAGCAGCTGTATTAAGAAGTGCTTTGACTGTAATTTTGGACTTTGAATTTTGTTTTTGTTTCCTATGAAAAACCTCTCTTGTTTTATGTATGTGTGATATAAAAGCCCCATTGCCCTTCATATGCCCCTTTGCTGAACTTTTCCCTCTGCCACCAGCCGTCTGAGTGCAGTTCATTGACGAGCAAACAACTCAGAAATCATAAATGTCAGTAGGGTATGTTCTGGGTCCCCCATCTGAAACATCTTCACCACAGCTAAGGGTATTTTTGCAATCCATTATCAGCAACCAGACATCATTTAAAAATGGTATGTAGGGCTTTAACCTTGCTGAGTGCAGCTCGTGCTCTTGTTCTTGGAATCCATCAGGTTTTTTAACTGGTGCCTTCGCATGTACAGTTAATTCATGTTTGTCACTGCCAGTGTATGTAAATAATCAGATAAATTGGTCTATCAGTGATGGAGGACATTTTCACTTCTTGACTATTAGTTTTAGATTTAGTTATGGCCTGAAAATAACCTGTTAGCTTAGTAGGAAGGTATGCCCATTTCATTAAAAAATACCACCCTTTACATGCAGTAGATTTACAAGTAGTAGATTTGTTCCTATACTTTGTTGTATCTTGACCTCTGGGTTAATAGGAGGGCACTGTGAAGTGGCATCAAAGTCAATCTTGTTACATGATCCTCTCATTTACCTCCTCTGCTGTCATATGTCATTATTGAACCAGCCTTAATATCTTAGTTAGATTTGATAGAGTAGAACAAATTGGACAAGAATGCTTTTTTTTTCTTTTTTTTTTTTGCTGAATTGTTCATTAAATGCCAAAGCCTGGTATTGTCTTTTTAAAGCATTGTCTGGAAGAAACCTGGTCCCCACTCATGGCTGTTCTTAGGGTGCTTTGTAAATTGGAGGGATGACAAACAATGGCAGGCCTAGACAGACAGATCAGAAGGGTCATCTGCAGGTTTTTTCATTTCTTCTTTTTGGGTGTTTCTGAACTGATTGTTGGCCTTCAAAGATAGTCTGGACATTTTCAAAGGCATTTACAAAAATAAAATAAGTCTCATTTCTTTCATCTCCCTCAGACAAAAGAGAAAGAACTTTCACATGTTTATGAACCCCAAAGATACTATTCTTTTGCAGTTTTATAGCCGAGGTTATGTCATCATTTCAATATCTAAAACCTTCAAAGTGTCCAGTCCTATTAAATGTAAAGAGTTATTTCCACCTGCCACCCTCCTAGACAAAAACGGTTAGTACAGACTTTCACATCTCATAAGAATTCCCACTGAATGTATCCCCCATGGGTTAAAGCTGTCTAAATTAATTGAGTTCATGTAGAGATGCTTAATTATTGTCCCTCCCCTTTTCCTCCACTTGGTCACTTGTGGTCACTATTCTCAGCTGGACTCTGGGCACCTGTTGGTAGAATAGGAAGCAGTCTTCTGTCCGGAGCTTTATCAAATAGTTCTTAAATAGACAGCATGCTGGCTGCTAGTCTGTTCTACTATTTCGGGGTCACACACTTGGGCCAGGGTGTTACTGTGATGTATGCTAAATTGTGAATGTGATATATACCCACCTGAAGAGAGGCTTTGATTTTAGTGTGGTATTGATTAGGTGAATGATATATCAATTCCCATTGAAAGGAAAGGGACATTCATTCCTGAGGAGACTTTGTTTGAAAAAAAAAAATGCATTTTTTGTTTTAGTTTTATAAACCAGCAAGAGGGAGTTTGTTTGATTGAATTAGGTGTTTATAAGAAAGCGACTTAAGGGGATGTTTGGCAATACTGTGCAGTTGCTTCATGAGGAATTCTTAAGAATTGAAAACCGTATTCAACGCGCAAAATGAACATAGGCATACATGTTCCAAAAATAAATAAATAATAGTAATGATAAGATGTCCATATCAGCATTCATTATGATTGTTTGCATAAAGCTGCAACAAGAGTTTCAGAACATAGCTGTGGCTGTGGTAGGCTCTAATTTGTTGATGCCAATGACCTAAATAACCTTGTTTTTTTGTATTTAGAAGTTTTCACCCCAAGAATGTGAGCCCCAGTATAGGCAGCAGCTGTAAAATGACCACAAACGTTACCACAACAATGTAAAACACCAGATACCAGTATAATATAGCACCTGTTAAGAGATATTATATATATAGTATAAGTACTGCCATTAGATAAAAGTACATAAATATAGGAAAATAAAATCTTTGTTCATACTTACAAGGTTGGTATGGAAAGCTAATGGTTAGTTAGCAAGATTGCCTTCTCTTCTCATCCAAAACTAATTTGTGCTGTTCTGACTTTTGGTCAGCAACTGGTCATTTTTGACTTGACCAGTCCTTTCAGTTTCTAGTTTTGGCCTGGTTCATTGAATAATACAGCCCCAGTATGTTACAGGCTGGTCAGTAGTCTTGGTCAGTCTTTTCAGTTATCTATAGAATTTGCCTGGTCAGATGTTTCAATTTCTGCAGGGTTTTGTCTGGACAGTAAAACTTCTCCTGGTCATTTTCTTCAACTATCTCGCCTGGTCAGTTGTCATAGCTATCCTGAATTAACGACAAAGATGAAATTAAGAAAAAATTAATTAAAAGCCCGTGGCAAGGATAAAAAGTGGACACACGGTCCAGCAGTGGGCAGTAGCTGCAGGAAGTGATAGGATAGGTTGGGGTGACTATGCTCCTGCCAGTGTCAGACAAGTGTGACAGGGGGCTCACAGGGTGGAGCTCACTACAGGGCACATGTTCCAGAGGGACCAGCTCAAAATGGATTTTTCTGGGGAACTTGATACTATTGTGTATTGAGTAAGATTTATGGAGGAGCATCATTTATAGAATTATTGTATTCAAATAGACTTTGGTCACTGAAAAAAGCCATTCTGTGGCAGAAAAAAACTTTGAACAGTTTCTTTGATAATTGTGTTTGAGGTGTGAGTTATAAAATTTGTCTTCACAGATGAGACCTTCATTTTATAAACATAAGTAAAAATCTGAAAAAACTTTCCTCAGTGTATCAAATATTGATTATAATGCTGTTGGAACTGGTTTGGGACCTTCAGAAATCCTGCAATGAAATACTGTCAGGATTTTATTGGTCTGGAAAGTAATAACATTGAGATAAAAAGATTTGTTAGTTTTGAAAAGTTCCCAAGTCCAAGTTAACAGGAAGCACCCTACATCCAATTTGTTTTTCGCCTATTGTTTTACACATGATCTATCGTATTTAATCTGATGGAATTGTTTTACCAGCAATTTTCATTGACCTTTTGCAACTATATATCACTCGAGGTCTGTAGTTTATGGTGGGCTGTGATTAGTTTGGAGCCTTTTGCCACAGCAACACCACAACTTCATCTGTGCTGTAAAAGTTGACAGAGTAAGATTTCATATATCACATCTGAAAGGGTGGCAAAAATAGCACTCTAATTAATAGGGTGGTTATGACTAAGCTTTCAAAGAGTTCTTAAACAATTTAGGTGCTTGCTGGCTCCCACACAAATCGCTGGCTGTTGTTGAAAAGAAGGAAAATTGAGGCTCTTCCTAGCATGCACACAATTCACCAAATACTGAAACTAGTGTACTTTGGCTAGAGAAAATGGAGAAAAAGTGTAATATTTTTTCCTCTATTTCTCATTAACTTAGCGAAAAACTAGTTATTTGGCTGCAGCTAAAATTTTGCTAGCATGACTTCCGCAAGTTACATACCTACCACATAACACCACCTGCGTAGTTTTTAACTATTATTGCCTTAGTCTCTCTCTATGACATGAAATAAAATTCAGGGTAAGAGTTGAAATTGATTCCCACCTCCTCTCCAGAACCCCAAAACCCCTCAGCTTGAATAGTGATAAACTGAAACTGTTTTATCACCTGTGCCAAACACGCCCACTGACAGAGCACATGGCGATATACCAGTTGTGAAGATTTTTTAAACTCAAAATCAATTGTCTTATATGTTTGTCTTCTTCCAGGATCAGCAGGACCTGGACGGGGCCCAGCAACCCATGAGCTACAGAGAAGAACGCTTCCTTTCATTTGCCTCGCTGGAGTATGCTGGCAAGATCTACATGACTCCCCAAGACTTCCTGGAGTCCGTGATACAGGAAGAACCTAGAGGTCAGAGACACGCAGAGCAGTAGGGCTAGAAGATTGATTTAAAATATTAGAGTACAACTTTAGTTGGCATTGTATTCTTTGGAAATGTCACCTTATGCATATCTGTATTTTTGCAAGTGTGTTTGTCTTTCTTTCTGTCTGTCCATCTGTCTATCTCTGACAATAAGTGTGTCTGCTTGCATGTCTTTGCTATAAGTAAAAGGTTACAAAAAAAAAAAAAAAAAAATGGCCAGTACACCATGCACAATGAAAGTGTTGATTTTTTATTTCTCTGAATGCTGAATGTGTTAGTAAAATGATTCTTTTCTAAGACTTGAAACAAAGTTGTACGTGTGTATTCTCATGCCTGCTGCATATAAGAGTAAAGGTACGTATATATTTTTGTTTGTTTGTTTGTCTTGTCCCCAAATAGTTGAAGTCTGGGGGATAGTTGTATAAGTCGAGTACTTTTACCACGTGGGACAGCTTAAAATGTCTGAGGAAATAACATTAGAAAAAGACTCTTTGTGACTGTAGGCAATTTTTTTTTATAGTTGAGCACATGTGCCTTAATTGAAAGAGGTGTGTTTTCTGGTTTGGTAAATAAAAGACTGTGAAAATCATTTATCTTAGCTAAATAACAGAATTACTTTTTCCAACGTTTAGCACCTGGGTGGCTTGAAGGATTTGCCACCGTGTTGTTTCAACTTAACATTTGTAGCCTTCTCAAAGATGTGAACATTTTGACATTAGGAGCTGTTTATTAGGCAAATCTGTTTTTTGTAATTTAGAGAAGAAGTATCCTAAAATAGTGCTTGGTTGTTCGAATTGAAGTTGTTTAGATATACAAAACACTTATGAACTCCATGTTCTTGGGTGAACTTGGGTCAAAAATGACAACAAACAGTAGGATGGGTATAATTATTAAAAAGGAACATCAATTGGAACAGCATTAACATAAAACGGTGCAGAAAAATGAACAAATGTGAAAAATATGTGAATCACACCTCTCACTTTAACCAATATTCTTTCTCACTCATGATGGTATGGAGTAAACAAGATGCTCTTCTCCGAAATGTCATTGCTTTAGGAAAAGATGCATACACATTGCAAAAGTACACGTATGCTCATGCAAACAAAGCCAAGCATGCATGAGCATACACACACAAGAGAATATATGCGTTCATTTGACAGGTGCATGTTTTGTAAACAGGTTCTTTATAGGAACACACTTTTATCTACAAACACGAAAACGTGTGCATGCTCTGGGGCATGTTGCATATACACATGCACTCACACAAGTTATTCTAGCTACAGTGGCAATGTAAAAAGAAATAATAATACCAAACATTCTTATAATCATGGGTGGGCAGATAGCACTCTGTGTAGACGCTGACATAGGGGCAATGAACCAGAGGAATGACGGAGCATTCGTCTGTTTCTGAAAATGAGAACATTTTTCATCATTTCCTAGTGCAAATCCCACAGGTATATGATCTTACTTATCATTGTGTGCCTCAATGCCCTAAAGTACTGAAACAGCTCAGACCTATTCCACCACAATAATGGGTGTCTCGACAGGCTACTTTGGAAGTTAATGTGAAAATCAAAGCAAAAAGGTCAGAGTCTATAAACTCGGGTCTCTATAAAGTGGTTTCATGGGTATATAAGGATGTACCAAAGTCTGGAGAACACTAGGAACACCATTTCTTCACATGATCACATGGCTTAGTTTTACTGTCCCTGGTGTGCAAGATCAGTTCTGATGACTTTTTGTATCGCTCTTTTACTTTGAAATGTTTCTGTCATGTAACCTTGACCCATGGTCTGCAGGTATTTCACCCAACTATAAACCATACTGGGTTGTTCTGGTAGTGCAGGTTTTATTTTAGATTAACAAGTGAAATAAGGCCGTTTTTATTGTAAAGTACAATGGTGTTTAAAACTGCTATCACCTTGTTATCTATAGGGATGCCCATTGAGATGTAATTGCAAGATGGTTACACATAAGTTACCGATGGTATCTATAGTTATCATAGTACCACAGGGGGAAAAACAACTTTTGAAACAATGGCCAATTGGTTGTATTAAAGTGAAGATCGGGATCTAGATAAAATGGTCGAAGCATATGATCTGGGGACTTCATGTAGTTTATTATGTACTTGTGTGCTGTGAGGCTGGTGTGGCCCTACTCAGAGCGTATTCAGAACAGTGGATGAATGGACCCGCAGATCAAATATGGGGACCCACTAAAAACCTTGCCATTTAATTCCGGATTAGACACTGAATAAATTCTCTGCGGGCATTATGCATCAAACATTCAAGTGGGTCGGCCACATATGATCTGCGGATCTGTAAGTCCGTTGTTCTGAATGCGCTCTCAGAGGTCTTGCTGTATCGTGTTGAGTGGTAGGTTACATCTGTCGCATGCTGGTTACCAAGTACAAGACAGGACACCATGTTGAGGAGGGCATGATCTCGAGATTAACAGATTGTTACATCAGCCAAGTCTTGATTCAATACAGTACATGTTATTGAGGAAATTGGCCAAAAAATTTAGCTGGAAACACCCAAATTTATCCCCTAATAATTTGAGAAAAACAGTTAGTGTTTTAAAACTATGTGGATATTTATAGAGTACTTGTGGAAACTGGAGGTTTACATCCAGGTACACAGAGAAAGTGTATACTGTGTCATTAAGGCAATGCTTCTGAACTGTTAAAATGTAAAATCATAATGCATAAGGTTCAGTTAGAAAACAATGTAGTAAATCTTGGGAAAGTTACAATCATTTACTGTAAAATAACAGTGTAAACTACTAAAAGCATTCTTTAATGAATTTATTATTTATTTTCAATACTCTATTCTTTCAACAAGAAACACATCCTTTAATTCTATCAGTGCACAGGTAATTGTATTGATAACCAGTTATAGCTTTATTTCAGTGATATTTTTATAAATTATAAAACTGTTGGAAATTCTCAAATACCTGTTGAGTGGCAATTTGAGTGCTTGGAAAGTTTACTCCGTTTTTATCACAGTACCTGCATGAACTTTTGATTCATAAACATGATTTGGGCTTATTTCCAGAAACCCGGGCACAGTATTTTATGCTTTGGATTAGACTGGAAAGTGATAAACTATTACGGCATATTGCAATCTGGTTTTATTTATGGACCTGTCTGTTTTGTAAGTTGGTAAACTATTACACTGCAGTAACAATTCTGAAAAATTGCTTTCTCAGTTAATTGTTTTTCACAAACCTTCTTCTGGTTAAAGATGGGATTCATTCGATAACTCTCTCTCGTTTCAAACGTAGTCAACTTTAGGAATTACTTTGATAGTCATTTCATGGCCAATGGATCTTAAAGTTATCAAAGTACATCAAAGTTAAAGATATGTAGAGATACATGATTTAGAGATTTGAAAAGTGAATTTGGAAATAAAATTAAAGAAGGTATATGTGATATAAAAGGAAAAATTGTGCAACAGAACTTCAGGAACTGAAACCTAAAAATATGAAATTGTTTCCAGAGGTTTTATATCTCCAGTCATAATGCAGCTGAAACTTGTGAAGGTGTGTGTGTATGTGTGTGTATGTGCATGTGCACGTGCATGGGGTTTCTTGGGAGGTTAAACTTTTTGTCTGTTTTTGGTTGGAATAATTATTAAAAGATTGTGGAGTATGGTAACTCCTGCAAGGTAGGCTGATGTGGTTATTAATTCAATAGTGGTAAAGAGGGAAGGGAGTGAGAGGGATTGCCAGGTTTCAGCAGTCAATAAAATAGAATAGAATGCAGATGTCTTTGATGAGTTACAGATCCCATTGGTTACAGTATGGAGGGAAATCAAGGTGAGCTTTTGTTCCATCCCTGGATGCGGCCTAGGATGGAAAAATACTATTTACAATAATAAAATGCAATTTCAGTGTTTTAATGTCTGTCATGCTGGTCAGATGATGTTTTCATTTAAAAAAGGTGGCTTGTTATAAATGAATATCAAGGCCCAGACTGACAGACATGACAAGGGGGAAATAAATTAGGTTTGAACATAGCACGGTGATAAAGGGGCTGGTCTCATGCAACAAGGGAGGGAGATGTTAAGAGAACTTAATGGTTTTTGATTTATAACTGGTGGTGAATATCTACTGTAAAATGCCACTGCTTAAGCAGGCCCAGGGCATGTCTTAGGTGCTCCAGACTGCACTGCAGGGGTGGAAACTGACTGATAACATACAGGTCACTTCTCAGTCTATTTTATCAATATCAATACCAAGATGGAATATTATTAAGAGACACTGTTTCTGCTGCCAAAGTGACACACAGCAAATAGTAGCGAGTTTCCGGTGCAGTTGGGATACGACGGCTAGATGTGCAAATGTATCCAGTAACGCGTTACTCTTTTCACGTTCCAGTAAAGTCCCGGAATGCTGGCGCTTCCCGCCATAATCACAATATACGGTCGTAGCCATCTATTTCCAAGGGAGATATTCTTTTTTATGTAAAAGGAGACAAATATTACCCAAAAGTGCAATTTTTCCCGAAAAAAAGAACCCCACGATCAACCCCTGACTACGTGCCTGATAAACCAAAACTAGCGACTCCTCTCTCTTAAAAAGTCGGAATTTGCATGAACATACATTTGAACTATTGTAAAAAAGTATAAAAGGCAAAATTAGCAAAAATTACATTTAATAACTATTTTCAATAATCCTCCGCACTGGCTAGATAGGAGCACTTGTATTCTGGAAACTAGATAGGACGACGGTATATGAACACTGTGAATGTCACAAGTGCGCACAAACCGATGACGTATTAATCTAGCCGGCGTATCTCACCGGCAACGGAAACTCTAGTGTAAATGGGAGCTGGATACTCTTCTTGATCACATACACACACACTGTGTCAGTGACTGTGAGTTAAAGCACATGGTGCAATATGGTTAACTTGATCACAATAGGGGGTTTGTCGTGTGGCATCCAGGTCTACAAAATAAAGATATGAAATAATTTGCTGTGGTGG